TCCTCCCCATTTTATGGAACATTTAAAACAGAACCAAATAGTTTAGTTTGACTAACATAGTATACTAGTAATAGAGCCTATTAAAAGAATAGTTGAAAAGTTAGTTCAATTGAAAAAACATTACCTCAAAGTTCAAATCTGATCAGTTAAAATGATTTGAAAAGCTTGTCTAAAATATATAATAAGTAGAAAGATGTCAAACCCAAAATAGTAAGCGAGTAGGTGGTAGAACAACCCAGGATGAGAATTACTTTCAAGTTATCCAGGAGATACAGAAATTTAAAATTAAAAAAAAAGGTGATAATTGCCTATTTGCAAACTGAAATTAGTACACACGCAAAATTGTTAACCTGTATTATCTCTCGAAGAAAATTCTTTTAAACAAGGGTATTATCTCTCGATATTCCTTATGAAATCAAGCTAAAAAATGGCTCAAGGTACCGCAACCATTGCCTAGAGACAATCAGATGATGTTAACTCAATCACCTTTAGAGAAATCAGAAATCAAATGATTTCAAACCACTAAACCCCTCAGAAAGAAGGTTTCTAGCAGAACATGATGATCAAGTTGAATAAGCTATCTCAGAAGAACAAGCTGATCAACATAAACTCAAGATACTTAAATGGAATGGAGAACACCACACGAGTAGTCGCACACAGATTGTGAACTTCTATAAATTATAATGGCTCCAACAATTTGATACTTTGTAAACAACTCTTTCATTGTAGAGAAATCAGAAGCCAAGAACTTAATTTGCTCCGGAACATGGTAGGAAGAGTGATTGACTAAATAAGCAATTAAGATGAATGTTAAAAATTGCACGTTACCTTAACTTGAAGCCTTAAGAACTTCACATAGTCCAGAATCTCATCAAGCATTGCGGCCCTATCGGTCTGGAAAGAGAAAAAAGAAATAAAATCTCAATACCTAAAGCAGCCACATCTTTCTAATTTCACTCTTCATGGAGGGGACTGTTCATATTAGATGCTGAAAAAACAAAGATAAAGTCCAATTCCGAAAGTCCCACTCAAAGCGAAAATTAGCACTTAACTGAATCCCACAAGTCTAACTAATGGAGAACAGTAAATTGAACCATCAGACAGCACTCTACTGCAAGTAAAAATTTGCCTACAAAATTTGAATGATCCTTTTTCGATAAGTTACAAGATGTAAATCATCTTTTTCCTGCTTTTTTTTTCAAGCACTGGTATTTTATGGTCATGATGTGCACCAGAAAGTAAAATTGCCGTTATCTGTAAACATAAGACTTTGTGTTTTAATGAGCCTCAGTATGACAATGCCATGAGTAAAGAAACATACTCGCCACTAAAATAAGAACTTGTTGCCACTAAGAGAGTGAGACACACCTTATTGCAGCTGGGGACAAGTTCTTGCAAAGCCTTTATTCTTTCTGATATCCTCTCTCGTCTCAACTGCAAGGGAGACAAATCATTACTCAGCACTTGTTTCTAGAGGACTCTAATAACACCTTGTATCATACTACACGATTCGCGCTTGTCCTTATAAAGCTTATCTACATAACATGGTATATCAATCTTATTACCCTCTCAGCTATGCTATGTGGATCTGTGGCTTGTCCCCTCCGAGCTCGAACCCTAGGACGAATTGCTGGTGGGTGCGGTACAGTTACTGTTGTGCTTGTTGTTGGTTGGCCTTGGAAAGGCTGAAAGAAACCAAGAGAAATTATTAGCTCAATAAATGCAGTAAACGTCACACCCCTCATTGACAAGAGACCATGTTATTCTTAAAGAAACATAATTCAAATCAAAGTTACCATGTCTGAGTCATGCAACTAATTAGACTTCAAAGTAAAGAGAAATTAAACGGAATACTGCATGCAATTCCATCCTTCAACAGTGTTTTACTGTCTTATAATCAAATGATATGCTTCGGTTAGAAAACAGTTATTTGTTAATGCCAATATGCTTTACTCATAGTCAAGGAGTATTAACATTGTCTAAATAAAGATTATGGACTTAGTGCTTCAGACAACTTACTGGCTACAAATTTGGACATGCATTTAGATTTCAGCTTATGAAACTTCAATCATTTAAGCAAAGTCTACGAAGGGCTCGAGGACAAAGTTATTTCTCATAAAACATCAGAAACCAAAATCCTTAACTGTTACCGGAGATTGCAATATGCACAAAGTCAACAAAGAAACAAAACTATGGATCGAAGATGCTGGAAAAATAACAAGCCATATTTATAACAAGCGCTTTTTAAAAGACAATATCTAGTAACCATGCGACTTAATTTTTTTTCCAATTTTAACATTCTTCAATACACACTGATTCCTCCATTTTCACCAGAATCAATATCAACTCTTCATAGGGACCCCCTCCAAGTCACTATAAAATCATAGTACACATAACATACCAAAACCTCAAAACCTATCATAATCTCAAAAAAAAAATGAATCAACACATGAAATGAACTTAAATTTTACATTTCCCTCTATTATATCGACACATTATCCGTATTAGAGAGTAATAATGAGCAATTCTAGAGACAAAATTGAGGGCCACAGATACTCTTCACACGGTGTGATATTGATGGCAGAATAGTACAATTTTTCCCAAAAAGTCTTACACGATTAAGAGTATTCCTACGCATTATATGTAGCTTCCTAATCTTTTCATCTACCAATGAAAACAATTCGCAGACACGTAATCTTTTTAGCTTTAATAAAAGATTTACACACACACACACAAGTAACCTGGATATGGTGAACAGGAGGCACAGCGTGACGAACTGCATGAGATTGCAAATGTTCTAGACCAGCATATAAATTCCCGATATTTATTCCTTCTCTTTCCTGCAAAAAATAAACCAAAAAAAATTAAGTTAAATATTCTAAAATTTGGAAAATGCCAAAACGCAAAAAAAAATAAAAAATAAAGCTTACATGCTTCACTGCATAAGCACCAGCATCGCTGACGTCATCACGGCCGTTATCCAAGCTAAGTCCCAACGGGAACAACGGTTGCTGTAGACCAGAAGCAGCAGCAGATGCCGAAGTGAACGACGTCGTTTCTGATGAAGTCCCGACGTCAGCTACCGGCGGCAAGCCAGTGTAGGAAGGAATCGCGAGAATTTGCTCTAGGAAATCGTCGGCATAGCCCTCCGGTTGGTTTGTCGCCATGCCGGAGATTATCTCCGGCGAGAAAAATGTTTTTTCCCGGCGAGAAGAAGTTAATAAAGGGTTTTGAGGAACGGAAATGGAATGGAATGACTCTGTTTTGGCTTTTCGTGCTTTTGTGGGCATGCGTTTTAAAAAGTGTGATGATTTTTCTGGATGGGTTTGTTGTTTTTGCGGGTGGCCCTTGGATTTTATTGTAGTATCTATATTTACCTCTATAGTTTTGTAAATGGGCAAATTGCTCATTATTCTTACAACAGGTAATGACAAAATCATGAACCCTCTGTAAGAAAATGTACACACTAACAAATGATAAAATATAATTACTTAATAATAAGCAATGGCAAGATGAGAAAAAAATAAGGTAACGATGCGATCACACCAAATCAATCGTTCCATAAAGTTGCACTTTTTATCGTTACGTAACGATGGATTTAACGATACGATACAATCAAATTTAAGTAACAATCAAAATAAATATTGTATTAAATTAATAATACGATACAATACAACAAGTAACAAACCTTCCAAACACGCTGTTACATACTACTATTTTGACTGAGCATATATGTATCATATATATATATATATATATATATATATATATATATATATATATCCATGTATACCTGTGCGTGAGATACATGCGTGATACATTTTTGATACATGTGTTGCAGAAGAATTTGTTTAACTCGATTTAATTACGAATTTTTGATACCAAACCAGTTCAAATCACCTCCAATCTTTCTCAAATTTTGTATATTGACTTATGTATATGTTTTCAATGAATTTCAACTATACCCATTGAAAAAGTTTCTTTTTTGCTTAGATTTTTGGAATATTATATGTATATTTTTTTTTATATTTCATCACGTTATCTGCTACCTCATCCATGGAATTTCCTTTCCGTCTTGCATCTAATGTTGCAATCACACTTAAAAATATGGAAGGTAATTTTTGCATTTGATTCTTTGAGAGAAAGAGCTTTATTTATTTGGTTTTTCAATTTTTATATGTACTTGGCTAGTTTTGCTAAGTTTATTACTAATGACTAGAAATTGATAAGTTGAGACTTATTTGGAACATTTGTGCAAGTTTCCATAAACATAAGGTACAGTGGTAGAGGTAGACAAGATCTTGTATCAAAACCTGAGTTGTTCGGACTCAGGTCTAGATATTTTATACGGTTATAAATCTAAAGGTCGGATTCTTTATTGTCTAAATTTTAAGACTCAATGTACATATATTAGTATGGAGATTCGCTAACAATAATTTAAATATTTAAAAGTCATCAAACCTCAGAGGGAGTTGAAGAGAGGCCTTTCAGTTCGTTCAAAGGCACTAGGGACGAGCCATTATTGAGTTATAAAAGTATGCTTAAATTATGAGACATTATACAACAACCTAATAAAATTCCATAAGTGAGGTCTGAAAAAAGTAAATTATGAGATATTATGTGAAACTTAAATGTTGCCTAAATCCGGGAAGGAGATAAAAGTAAAAGGACTGACATAGAAATATTTGCATACAAGGTATTCCATTTTTTTTTTGATTTCAGAAATTATTGTACTTGTTTCGAATTCTCCGTTGATTTTGGCCAAAGTATCCAAAATAGATTGACTAGATCCGATATGGATCTCACACCCATGCCTACACCCATACTTTCACCTATGTCATATCGACATTCGATCAACTTAGATTAGTTCACAGGTGCCCCATGAGATGCTCATTTGAAACCTTTGTCTGGTCAATACGAGAAAGAAAAGAGTATATTTCAAAACAATGTCACACACCTACATTAAACTAATTTCTCCTTCCCTTTTTAACATTTTGCAATAACAAACAAACTCAACGAGGATCTTATTTATTCTCACACTCGAGATATCAACACCTCTTAAATACACATATTTCAACAGGATTTTCCACTACGGCTAGAAAGATAAAAGAAAAATACTACTAATATAAGAGTTATATTACACATAGAAGCAAAGTTCAAAGTAAAGTAAAAACCTCAACACTACAAAATGCTACGTAGTCCACTTCAAACCTAATTTACATAATAGACTCTGCATTACTAGAGAAAATACCTCGAGCCAATGTTTGATTATCAGACATTACGACACTGAAGTACCAAGCTGTCTTGTTCGGGCTCTCCAAAAAGGTCTCTGGGTATGTATCGGACCCTTCAAAAGTAATGCATTTTTGGAGGATCCGACAACATTTTGGGGAGGCCGCGCAACATAGGTACCACGTCCTCGTGGGACCATAAACTGTAGTCTATCTTGCTGTCACTTGCCTCGGAGAGAATCCCTCCTCTGATACATCAGAAAACAGATCAATACTTTTGGACAAAGCATAGACAATTTCCACCATACTAGGCCTTTTTGAAGGATCTTTATTCAAACAAGAAATGGCCACAGACATCACATTCATAACACTCTCCATTGTACATTCCTCCCTAAGAAGACTATCATCCATCCATTCTTGCAATTTCTTCAGTTTTCTCTCTTCACTCCCTTCCAAAATTTCGCCAACTTTCGCCCATAAAACTTTCCCTTCATCGTCGATGGCTTCTCTCCCTGACATAAGCTCGAGCAACACCACCCCGAATGAGAAAACATCCATTTTAATCGATACAATACCATCAGTGAGATACTCGGGGGCAATGTAACCCTGAGTTCCAACAATGTGCATCGTTATCGCATTGCAGCCTGATTTAGCAAGTCCAAAATTGGCAACTTTGGCTCTCATGTTTGAGTCTAAGAGAATGTTGCTACTCTTGATATCTTTGTGTACAACCCTTGGCCTTGTGTGTTCATGGATATATAAAAGACCATTTGCAACATCAATGGCAATTTTTAACCTTGTTTTCCAACTCAATTTTTCTTTTTTGTCCTCGTGAAGCCACGAATGTAGTGAACCATTCTCAACATATTCATAAACTAAATAGCAATTTGCTTCTTTAGGGTCTATGCAAAAACCCTCTAGCTTCACTAAATTCCCATGGTTCACCTACAAAAACAAAAAAGGGAAAATCATTAAGTCCAAATTTTCATGGTTCCAATTCCTTTGTTTTTTTATTCCAAGACTTAAATCTGACTCATGTAGCCAAAAGTGACAGCACTGCAAGAGGTTGCAAAATAGGACATGATGACAATTTCTTTCTTAAATTTAATTTCTAAACAGTAACAACGTAAAGAATTTTACACTATCAGTATCAGATTACCTAAAACATAATTAGACGAAACTATTATAGAAGTGAAAATATTAGTGACGTAAAAATAAGACAAATACTATACTAATGCCCCGGTCGTCCATAAAAAAATACCTTTTTTTCACATTTTCATGCCCCGGTCGTCCATGAAATTTTGCAAGTTTTGAAAAATTTTCGAAAATGAATTTATCAAAAATAAAAAAATTTGACCACTTCTTCAAAATTTTCAGAAAAACTTTTTTCCTCACTCACAAAAATTACAATATTTTTTAAGTGAAATATAATTTTTATGTCCAAACGCCTGATAATGACTGCAAGAGAGGTTGCAAGATAAGACATGATGACGTTTTGTTTATTAAAATAGGACAGCAGCTAATAAAATCAATCAAATTTCAAAGTAGGACAGCCAAGCCAGCTAAAGGATGACGCATTGATGAGAGAAATCAGGCAGAGTATTAGATGTAGGAGGCCACAATCAATTGCAACTAACAAACTTGAGGTTATAGAGAAGAAAATTTATTTAATTTGGTTTGAGTTTTTGTTTTATATAATAAAAGATACCCTTTTCAATGGCAAAGTTTCTGTCTTTTTGTATTCTATCGAGTACTTAATTATGTACATGTACATAGAAGAATCACTTTGTTTTTTCTCCGCTAAAATTTAACCTCAGAGACCTGATAATTCTTCTTCCATTTCATTAGCCATATTGTTAATTTTTGATATACAATAGTAATTGGTAGGGTCTCCTCACAAACACCAATGAAAAAGAAGAACAAAAGGTGAATAATTGAGGAGCAGAGAGAAAAAGATTTTAATGAAGAGATATATTGCAGAGGACAAATAAGTTTTGAAGACAGAATGATGTTGATTACCTTAATAATATATTATTAAATCCAAACGGGCATAATAGTGCACTTGAATATTATACTTCTAATAACTTAAGAATACGACAGGTCACTAAACCTAACCAATATTTAATTAAATATTGAATCTAATACTTTGGTGGAAAAGCTATTCTGCAGTGGAATTCTAACATTAGTAAATTTGTCAATTATGCAAAAGCAATTAAGGTTTAAATTTGGTACTAAGTGGTCGTTAAAGATAATAATTTCGGGATAAAATTTAATATTACATTTATCCTATGTTTGATTACAAGTATTAACCAATCCCCGAATAAATTTTACAATGAAATAATTCGATTAGCTATCTTATTTACAAGGTGAAATAGATAGCTAATCGGATAACTCATGAGATATTCCTGAATATTCACTATTGTACCAAACAATCCTAAGGGTGGGATCTAATAGCCGATAAAGTATGTGTAAATGTCGAAGCTAATGTTCAAATTTTAGCAAAATCAAAAAAATTATTAGGTAATTGTTTTCCCTACTTGTCTAGGTAGTGCTGATAAATGATAGCAGATAGTTAATACTCCCGCCGTTTCAATTTATGTTAACCAATTTGACTGAGCACGAAATTTAAGAAAAGAGGGAAGACTTTTGATCTGGTGGTGTAAAATGAGGCACATATATTTTGTGTGGCTATAAATCATTGTTTAAAGGTAAATTATTTCCAAATAAGGAAATGAGTCATTCTTTTTGGCACAGACTAATAAGAAAATAAGTTTATATAAATTGAAACGGAGGGAATAGAACAATTCACAACAAATAATCTATGACTTTTCGAGGTAGGCATAAACTAACTCAAACTCATGATATTTACAAAAAATCTAACTTTCTACTAGTAGTGTCAGGTAAGAGCTAGTCGATAGAATAGTTCACAACAAATAATTTATGGACTACTCGAGTTACATGTAAACTAACTCGGACCCGCAATATTTATAAAAAAAATCTAACTTTCTACTGGAGTCTTTTTGGGATGAATACAAAGGCTTAATTAAAGTATAAGAATTTTGAGTAAAATTTTACCTTTTGCAGGATTTTGAGTTCTTCTCGGGCATTCCACTTCATTTTCTTGATTGCAAACACTTCTCCATCAATTATACCTTTATACACAGACCCTTGAATCAAACACCGTTCATCAAATCCATCTGTTGCTTCCCAAAGTTGTTCAATTGTATACATTTTATACTTATCCAAACAGTCTGAAACATCAGCCATTAAATTCACTTCAACATCTTTATTTAAAGACTCCTTTTTTGATCCAAAATATAAACTTTTCTGCCTTTCCACATCACTAAACTTTTCTCTCTTTGTTGACTTCTCTCTATAACCCCATAAACCAAAGACCAAAATCAGTAGCAGCCCACAAATTCCTAAACCAATAGCTAATCCTATGACTGTTCCTTTTCTGTCATTTTCTTGTACTGTTGGTGTATTTGTTGGTGGAGGAGGTTGGGTTGCATTTGTAGCTGTTGGCTGTGTAATATTAGGAAGTTTAGACAGTGGAATGAAAAGGATATCAAAAATCTTGGGATTATTTCCATTAATTTCTCTTATAGATTGTGGGGTTGTTCCAAATCTTGAAGCAATTGAAGAAATATTGTCAAAAGGTTGAAATACATAACTAATAAGATATCTTGGTTGGGTTTGGTTTTGGGGTTGTGTTTGTGTTCTGTTTGGACACTTACAAAAAATTGGGAATTCTATAGCTTGACCTATTTGAATATTTTCTGGTACAACAGTTGGATTAACAGCCTCAACATATTGATAATTTGTAAGGTTTTGGAACTTAATAGTTGAGATCCTGTACATAGTATCACCTGAGTTGAAACTATAGTTAAGGCCAGCATATGAGATGTTACCAAGAGTGGTGTTGATGTTTTTACAAGAACATGTGATTGGTACTAAGAGGGATTGGTCATTAACTAGGGTTGTGTTTGGGGTAGAAATATTACTAGGTTTTGCAATCATAAGCCTACTTACTGAGAAAAGGTCACCAATTGAGGCTAAATCAAGAAATTCTGGTCCTGTTGCTCTGTAAAAGACATATGTTTGACATGGATAGAATTGGCTTGGATTGCAGCTATAGCCTGTTGTACTTGGTGCATCTTGTGCATCACATGAATTTTGGTTATAAAAGAGGAAGATGAAGAAGAAAAGAAGTGAAAAAGTACCGTACATAGGCTTGATTCTCATTTTCTTGGTTTGTTTTGGTTTTGTGAAGAAAGACATGTTTAAATTATTAATGGAGATAAGAAGTTTATATATACAGAAATTCTTGTTGTTTTTCTTATAGTCTTGGTTTTTGACCATTAATGGTAGATGGGTTTTTTTTCATTTGATTGGTGCTTGTTGTTTAATTTCTCGTAGGGTCTTGTCTTGAGAATTAATGGAAGATGGTAAGTTTTCCAATTTGATGGTCCCACATAGAAGACTTTTTGGTCAACCTTATTGTAGAAAATACTCTTATTTATCTTTTGTTGTTTTCTGCAAATTATTAGACTGCAAAATGATTTCACATGTTTGGACTAGTTATCAGCCTTTTAGACACATTTTTTTCTAATGAAGTATAGCATACTATATAAAACTATCACAACAGTGGGACTATTAGAAAATTAAAAGGTTTGGCTTCTTTATGATTGGAATGTTTATTGGACTAGAGGAGAGCACGGTGAGGAGATGTTGACCCTGAAGTGCCTACAGAAAGGTAGAGACAGATCGAAGAAGTATTGGGTGAGGTGATGAAGCTTACCGAGGACATGACCGTGGTTAGGTAGCCGAGCGTTGTCCTTGTTCGTAACAGTAGCTTTAGTACATGACTTAGTGTTATTTTTGTATTCTTTATCTTATGTTATTACTGACTGTTGCTCTCATTTCGGCTTTCTGATTGCAGTNAATTGATAAACGAAATCGGCTGTTTATTAGGAAAATTACTACTAATTGAACTCAAAATGACTATTAGTTTCTCTCAACAATCATCACATTATTTCGAAACAAGGAATCTATACCAAAACCCGATATCGAACCTATATTGGAACAAATAATCTGACAGGAGAGGTGGCATTCATAGCCAGACTCTTAATGTGACTGCATGAGAGTTTGTTCGGGATATATTTATCCCAGACCTAGTACCACAGATTTGTCAATTCAGTGGTCTAGGCAAAAATACATACAAGTGCTTGCCATGACTCTATGTTATACAGTCATAACTAAGCCAAACAGAGTGTTATACTGAACTGAATGTATACTAAATCAAACATGCTGTCTATGTCATACTGTCATTACTATTGAACAATGATATCTAACAGTTCATCTCAAACAGAATGTATGCTAGTTTATACAAAATATTTGCAGTTTGCAGTAAAAAAAAAATACAAGCCCAACTAACATTCGACCTATTTTTTTAACACCAATGTTATAACATAAACAGCTGTTCGTTTCTTTATTTCTGCTTCAACTTCAAACTTTCAACAATACAAGGTTTCAGAGGTTGTGTACCTGGAANGTCCGTCCCAAATTCTAAGTATTTATCATGATCAATTATTGAGGGCCCCGCAATTTGCATTTTTATTTGGCGAGGCTCGTCTCATTATTTTAGAAGAGTACCCTACAGTGGCTACATTTCTACTACGTTTATCTTTTAAAAGAAGGATGATACCGAACTTTGCTTGTTTGAAANACAATGACAACAAAATGCAGCAGCAATCACAGCACTATCAGTAGCAGCAGGGCAGAATAGCAGCAGCAACAAGAAACAGAAGAGTAGCAGCCACAACTCACAAAACAATTGGAGTGAGATCAAGACCCCAACTAAACCAAACTTTCGAGTAGAACAAACAAACAACCAAGCAGACTCAGTTGGGAGAAATCAGTGTTGCACAAAACAGGTCCAGATTTAGTGAAATCAAAACAAAAGAAAGGAAACAACTTCTGGTTTTTTTTTCTGTCTGAGTTGTCAGACAAATATTCTTTTCCAGTTTTCTGTTTCCAAAATTAAACTCTCAGATGTTCCTTCTCAGTGTCTCTCCCTATCTCTGTATGCTCTGTCTGTGTATCTCTATCAACTCTCTCTTTTTCTTTCTCACAGTGTATGTCCTCTCCTTAATATCAGGTGGTATCCTTTTCTC